TTCTCAGAAGAACGCAGAAAACATTAAATCACATCTCTTCACTTTCCTACATGATTAGGTTATCACCTTGAGTATTCATTTTGCCACCCGCTGGCACTCACAGGCAGATATGCGATTGTCAAAAGATCTGAGCAGGTTAGAACAGAAAGATTCAAAATTGGGAAAGCTCTATTACACCACTTATAATTTCTTTTTCTGGGAATGAAAAAAACACCGCTAAGATGTGATTCTAGGGGCTGAGTACCTGAATCAGTCACACACTCATATCAAAATTACTGCAGAAATGAAATAGGGCTTTTGTCGGGCTGCATAGTCATCATGTAAAAATGGCAATTAATTCACTTAAATGATGATGATTAATACTCCCTTTACATAACCCTCTTTTTTTTTTCTTTTTTTACCAATGTTTCCCTGCATCAGCAATCAGCAAAGTAATCAACATCAATGTCAAGCATTTTCACTGAAAAATGAACTCTCTCTCATCAACACCTTCACATACACAGCAGTATTTCCATTTGGAAAACAAGGGGATAGGGATGGGGGAGATCAAAGGCACAATTCTCACTCCCCCGCATCATGGAATCCTGCTGACCACAGGGCTGCGGAATGAAGTTGTGCCCATCCACTCAAGACTCAGTGCAGACAACAGCAGGGCAAAGAAGTCTCCCTTGCCCCTACAACATTCTCCCCACAGACTGGCCTTTCCTGTCTTCCATGCACACATTTCTGAGTACCTTGGTCAGCACTGAGTATGTAACAATGGGCACTGCTATAGATGCTGGGCACACAGTGGTGTACAAATGCAGCAGAGCGTGACATGCACACAGTACAGCAAGAACACCGAAGAGACACCTCTCATCTGATCCAGGAAGATCAAGGAAGGCTCCTCTGCAGAGAAAGACTGTCAAGACCCTGGAAGGAGCCTTGAAGGCTGCAAAGATAAAGGAGGAGGGCTTCTCCAGGAGGAAGAAGGGTACAGGACTGAGCAGCAGCACCAGCAATCAGTCATTCTCCAGGACACATACCCTACAGGCCCGAGACATACAGAGGGGCAGGAGGGATCAACACAGGCCTGGGGAAGCAGCACAGCTGAGGAGGCCACACAAAGGCCACAGCGGGTCTCAGCACTCCAAGCAATCAGAGGGTGACTCTGAAGGGCCCGATGGCCAGGTCCGACATGATCCAATTCCCGAGACAGGCCTAGATTTTATTTGTAATCTTTGCCTCTCCTTCATAGAAGTCACGAAAATAAAAGGGGAGTGAAGGTAGCAGATTCAGCAACTGTATACAAGTAAGTGTTGAAGAATGCAGGATATTGGATGTGAGGGCGATCGGGCTGCGACAGCTGCCACCCCATGGATCACCAGGATGGCATCGGCCGACTGGCTGGCCAGGCGGGTGTCCCCTTCCTCCCTCACCGCTCCATGTGTGTCCCTCCTGAAGCTCCCTCGAAGAGGACAACCACCCCAGATAGAGGAGGGCCCTTTCCTCGGTCAAAGTTATATGAGTAGCTGAGCTCCCCTACTAAAAGCTCCAAACTAACTCTCAAGAATGCAGCATATAAGATTCTTCCTAGTTTTAATTAAAAATGGTAGGAAACCACTGAGGGGAAAAGAAAAAAGAAAACCTTTCACAGAAAAAAAAAATTAAGAGAGCTAAAAGGGAGCTTCCCTGAGTCAGCATCCCTGACGTAGCGATTTTGCTAGAACCATTCATTTTTCTCTCTGCTGGGACCGACTGAGGCCGCTTGGCAAATGCTTCTCTTGTCCCGTGTGGCCCACGGCCCACATAACACCCTAACAGAGCCACGATGAGCTCCGAACTTGGCTGCCACGGCTCTGTGAATAAGCCAGCCTCTGACAGATCCAGAACAGAGTGAGAAGGCACATTCTCACCGTTCATGGTGGCTACGGAGAAAGCTATTTTTTAAAGTAAGACTTTTAAGTTAATTTAACAGTTGAACATTCCTGAGACCCTACAAACTGAGGATTAAATTTCTCCACCAAGTGAAGGGCAATTTTAGATCTCTGTGGTCCAAATTTCAACTGCTAAACATCCCATCCATTCAATTTTTACTCAGAAAACAGTATTCTGAACGTAACCCACTGATAAAATAAGACTGTGCTGCACTGCTATGGTTTCCAACTCAAATCCAGCATAAGCTTCCCCATGGTCTATACAGCCTACTAACCACACTTTAACCCTCTAAATCACTCTTGCTGCCAAGAAACTGGACTGCTTCCACACACATAAACTCATGAGGAACAAAACTGCACTGGGTGGAGAATCATGGTCAGGAAGGCTATAAAGAAATCAAGCACACTGTCGGCCTCTGGGGAGGGACCTTTTTAAAATACTCTGAATTCTTAAGAGGTAAATCTATTTCTTTTTCAACAAATACACTGAAGGAAACTAGAGACAGAAACAAGGCAGGAAGGAATGTTTAGTTGAGAGAGAATACTCTGAGAAAGAGCCAGCATCCCTCTCAAATTATCTGTCCATTCTTTTCAGATTTCCCTGAAGAACATGAAATTAACATCCTTCCAAAGAGGTCATTCCATCCCATGAAAGATTTGACTATAAACATGTAAATAAGCTTTTTAAGGAAAATATTGCTGATCCCTCCCTTGGAATCTCTTATCTTACACACAACTCCAATTTTGTTATGTGGTTTTTCCAGGCCTAGGCAGAAAGAAGGCAACAGATCTGAACAGCAGTAGCAAGACAAGCATCTGATGCCCACAGAGCCTCAAGGAGAGCCAGCCTGGGGGTGGTAAAAAGGGCAAGGGAATGAGAGACTGTTAGACCTGGGTGTGAGTCTGTCCTGCCACTCCCTGCAGCCCGACCGCATCACAGCCTCTCAAGTCAAGTTCTTATTTATGAAAAGGATGATAACATACTTCACAACACAAAATACATGCAAGGTTCCCTACAAATATCAAATATTACCTTCATTCGTGGCTTGTATATATCACGGTATTTACCTAGAGGTAACTGTTGGCTTTACCAAGAGGAGTTTTAGTCACGGCCCTAGAGTTGTTCCAGCAGGACTGACAGCAGGTTCAGAAGTCAGAAAAGAGCAAGATGTAAGAGAGCACGGAACATAGTGGTAAAGAACCACCATAGCAAGGAGGTACCTGCTTGGGTTCTGATCCTAGTAGGTGACTTTAGGGCAACTTTCCTGACTTCTTCACTTCTGCTTACCTCAGTCTCTTTTATTTGTAAACCATGGGTGCTAGGACAGGGGATTCACAGTACTTACAATAGTTCTGCTCTATAAAGTCTCTGCAGACACTGAATTAGCAAATCCTAAACAATCGCTCCTAGAGAACACAGGGTCAGGTTCCTGCAAGCTTCTGGTCACATTTAATACACAGCACTGTTTTATATATTTTGACAATATATTGTTGACTCATTACTACAGAACTCCTGACCAACATCACTAACTCGTGCTAAGTGAGGCTTGTCTAACACATGTGTTCTCCCTCAGGTACATGATGCCCTTCTTGTGCTTAGAAACGGCAGACAGCCTCTTACATTTGGGGGCCACTTTCAGCAGCAAAATCACAACAAAACTAAAACAAGCAGAAATAGGGAAACATGGCAGTAACCAGAAAGAAGAACACAGCAGAAGTAAGAAAGCAGAGTAGCTGCCTTGGTGGAGGACCTCAGGATCACAAGCACCAGGCAAGTCAAGTTTTCCTTTACTCGGTGCATGTCCACCAAGGACTGGAAAAAGCACTGCACTGCTTCGGGGTTTACATACGGGTTTTAACAAGTGCTAACACTTACTTGTAAATATACAAATCCGCAAACAATGATGATGGACTAAACACAGAATAGATTAACAATTCAATGAATTTATACAGACACAGTGAGTATTCAACAACTGTTAGTTATTACTAAGGAGGAAAATATGTAAATAAAATATTACAGGTGACAGAAATAGGAAGAAAGCCATTACCACATCAGTGGCACCAGAGAGGGAATCAGGAATCCAATTCCCTTTCCTAAAGCTATCTCTTGCTCAACCTTTTCCTAACAGTTGGCACTCCCACGCCAGCCAACATCCTTTTGCCCTCAGATTGGCTCTCTACTCCTATAGTTTTATAGTTTATCTTCAGAAACTACATTCCCCAAAACCTCTTACCAACTGGTTCTCCTGGGGTTGGCCTATGGGAGGGCAGGAGGAGGAAAAGCCAGGCTCCCTCCTCCCTCCAAATCTGATTAGAGCTATCTTCTCCAAGGACGTAGCTCCTCCACAAGGCTTCTCCTGTCCCTGATAAAACCACTGACTTCTTCCTAAGGTTATGAATCTTTGAGTTGCCACAACATACTCTGGTAACTCACCTTTCTCATCACTTGATGCTCTATTTCCTGTGGGTTTTTCTGTTTTCGATGCCTGGCCCGGTTTTCCTGGCTGGCCCTTGACTGGCACTCTGGTAAACACTGGCTTCAGAAGATCCAGCACCCTGAAACTTCAGCCAAGAAACTGTGCCCACCCCAGCCCACCCCTACACACCCCTGCCACCCCACTCCCCTCACAGGCAACTGTCTCTCTGACAATCTTAGCTCTGCTATTCTGACTCTCAGGTCTCTCTGAATGGAAAGCAAATAAAAGGTTTCGCTCTGTGTTTAATTCACTACTTCAGGAAGAGAAATGGCATACTTAGGAAGATTATTACTGCCCTGTCAGCTTTTCATCAAGTTATATTACCTCTTCCACCTTTCAGCATAGGCTCCTTCCTGGTTGCCCTTGCCCTAAAGAAGCCATGATTTCTTGCTACTTAAGTGCTATTTACTTTTGAAAGGTCTAGCATTATGTGCAACTCATAAATACCTTGATCTTAAAAACTCCAAATGTAGCCTATGGCACACAGCCAATTCACTCTCAGAGTATTCATCTGCCATTCTGGGCTGCTGACCGAGGGCCTGCAAGATCACTGGTCATAATTCTGAGACAAGCTCTATTCTCTTTTCAAATCTCCATTATTTCTTACCCAAGTGCTTTAAAATGTCACACCTGACCACGATCATCCTCAGACGTATCAGATGAGTCAATGCATTTGTTCAGATAAAAGAAGGCAATGCTGAATAAGACTGTGATCTGTGAATCAGAGAAGAAATGGAAAGGGCAAATGTAGTGAATGCCAGCCACATACATGAAAACCTAAGTCCCCTTCATCCTGGGCACACAGCTGAGAGACATTTCCCAGCAGGGGTGGCCAGGTGATGGCACTGTAAGCAGAACGTGATGCCAACTACTGTCACGCCTGGCCATAAAACCCTCCCCTGCCAGCTCTGCTATCTACTTCCCCATCCAGTGGAAGGAAATGACAATTACTACAGGGTGACTCCCGAGGGCCTGTACAGAAGAAGCCAGGGCCTACTGACCCTAGGTCACTAAATGACTCCTTAAAACCACTGCTACCACCACACTGTTCACCAACTTAAGATTACAAATAACAAAACTTACAACAGGTGCAAATGACTATGGATAGATATAAACACACACTCAGGGAGACTGTTATAGGAGGACACTATTTCAGGACACATGCCTTTCAAAGGAGCTGAAGGCCTGTTAGACACCTAGTTAAGGTGGCCAAGTATATATGGTGCGATTGAAAATTATGGTGAATGTTTAAAAATTCTTCCAAAGTATTACAGTAAAAGTCACATTACCATTAATCCCCCCAAAATATGCCCCCTTCACTTTGAACACACTCACCATTCTTGCCACTTTCTGAAATAGTTCTGGAGGTGCTCTTTCATGAGTGTTTTTAGTTGTGCTGTCATAGCTTTCCTGATCCTGAATCAAATCAAAACATTTACCTTTCATGGTCATTTTAACTTTGGGAAAGAGCCAGAAGTCACAGGGTAATGGATCCAGTGAATAAGGGGGATGCCACCATGGAGTGGCATAGGCAGCAACATTCACCGTATTTTTTACCAAATCGCATAAAGATACTCATGAAGGAGGACCTCCAGAACTGCTTCAGAACGGTAGCAAATACAATGGGATAGGCCAGTAAACACATGAAGAAATCCTCAACATCACTGACTATCAGAAAAATGACAATTAATACAGCACTGAGATTCCATCTTACCACAGAACGAATGGCCTTCATCAAGTGGAAAAAGGAACCCTTCTACATTGTTAGCGGGAATGTACACTAGTACAACCACTACAGAAAACAGTATGGAGATTCCACAGAAAACAAACTAGAAATTCCATTTGACTCAGCTATTCCCCTTCTAGGTATCATTCCAAAAGGGTTAAAGACATCTTATTACAGCAATACATATATTATAGCCATGTTTATAGCAGTAAATTCATAACAGATAAATCTTGGAAGAAGCCTACATGTCCATCTACACATGAAGAAAATGTGGTGTTTACACATAATGGAGTACAACTCTGCCATAAAGATAAATTTGATTCATTTGTAGGAAGATGAGACCTTCAGACTATAATGTTAAATAAAATAAACCAGATACACAAGCTTAAATATTGCATGGTTTCTGTTGTATGAGAAACACAAATTATAAACAAAGGGCAAAATAAAAATAGATAATAGGAAGTACAGAGAGCTTTCTCAAATGGGTAGGAAATCAAGAGATGAAGGGAGAGGGGAAGGAATGAAAAAAGGGAATTAAGACCTGTTACGTATATGTACCAACTCTACACCAGGAACGTAAACATTATGTACTACAAACTTCAACTAGTAAGAAAAAAAGAATGGTAGGATATGTGTTTGAAGCAAGAGAGAACGTTCTGAAGGGGAATAATGGCAGTATGCCTTTTACTATAATAAACTTTTACAAATCTAAACATTGGCCTTGTATTTCGATCATCCCTTGTATATGAGCTAATCCCCAGCATATTCCTTGAGCAAGAAGCTCAAGACACAGCACCCAGGGCCGGGGATTTAGCTCAGTGGTTCTACCGCCTGCCTTGCAAGCACAAGGACCCAAGTTTGATCCCCGGTACCAAGAAAAAAAAACCCAGCACCTGCTCCAGGTCTCATTGATCCTGCTGGCAGAAGAGTGACCTGTTAAACAACTGCCACTTCCATTTTAGAGTAAAAAGAAACAAGATCTGTGCCAGGTGCATGTGGTGGTACACACCTGTAGTCCCAGAACTCTGGTAGGCTGCAGGAGGATGACAGCAAGTCTGAGTTCCCTGGGAAACTAATGATTTAGAGCAAGACCCTATCCCAAAAAAGACACTAAAATAAAATAGCTGGAAATGTAGCTCAGTGCAAGAGCCTTTTGTTCAATCTCCACAACCACAAATAAACAAATAAATAATCAACCAGCCAACCAAGACCCAGAGATGTCAGGGTAAGCCTCCCTGCAGGCAAGAAGAGAAACAGGGCCCAGAAAAATCACCAGCTAAAGATGCAATGACCAGAGCGCTGTCAGTGCTCCTCCCCCAGGTTAAGCAAGCTGAGGAGGCACCACCGCCTCTCTGAACCTCAAAGGCAAAGTAAAATGCCCTTTGCCTCTGTCCTGCAGGGAAGTGAACACACAGGGAGAAATCCCAACCCTGGGGAGAAGTCACAGATTATTTACAAAGTGAGTTGTCTGTGGCATTAAATGTGATGAAGGATTCAGGAGATAAGAATGTGGCAAAGCTGCCTGGGAAAATGAGTGGGACCTGTCAATTACAAGATCCCAAGGACAGTGCCAAATAATCCTCAGGACCCTCATATGTGGAACTTTTCTCCAGCTCCCACAAGATGTGGACAGCATAAAAGAGGAGACACCACGGAGAGTCCTCTATCATGACTCCTCATGATAGCCCGCACTGCATTTCCCAGATGTGTGTACTTTTATTTTTGGTTTTATCTTCTTTTTCTCTTCTGCCCAAGTTCACTCTGCAGAGCTGGTTTCTCCTGTACCCATTCATTCGCACTTTTCAAATAAACTTTTGGCACCATTTGTGGCTTGTCTCATTCAGTTCTTTGTGTGAGACACGGAATACTTTTGAGTGGTGAGCCATTTCTAAAGAAACTACCCAGTAACAATATTATGGGAAGAAAACAAGATGTAGCAATGGCATTAGCTCTGCCAAACAGGACCAATACCACTGCCCACTACCAGGAGTCCTGAACAAGCTGAAGAAGGAAGGTGATGAAGGGGAGAGGGTTCACTCACATATGCACCCTTGGAAGTGAATGGGAAAACAGGGAAAACAGACAAGAACAATAGAATAGCAGAAAGACCACAGGAAACTGGGTGGAGGGGTTTCAAGTAGTGCTACCTCCCTCCAAGTATGGTTACACTGCGGTTAGGTACAGGTCTGGGTGGCTGGCTGATAATCGTCTTCTCAACTTCTCTAACATTAGCCAAAAACAGAGAAGTCACTCTCAAAGTTATTAAGAAATGTTACCAGTGAAATCAGGAAAGGACAAATAAAATACACCAGTGACTGTCCTATTAAATATCTGCACTTGTCTGGATCTTTGAAATGATTAATTTTTTTCAAGTAACGCCAAAGAACAAACATGTAATGCTGTTTTGAACCTCCTACTAAGAATGAGATTCCAATTTGATACAACCAACACCAGGCACCTGTTGTGTCGAGACTCACACTGATGTCCTGTGCTTCATCTGCTGTGTGCTCCTTTGGGCTTCCCATCCTTGAGGTACATTGGCTTCCTCCACTGTGCGTTTCCGCTATGAGGTGGTGCCTTGCCAGAAGGCATGTGCCTGGCCCTCAGCCCCACACTGCCCCGGGACCCGGAGGAAGCAGGGTTGAGACCACCATGCCATTTTCCCAATGCAAGGTGGCCATTAAAAATGCTGTTTCAGAGTCAGAGGCACCTGGTGGGCTCTGAGACGGAAAACACAGGCACACCAAAGGCAGAGGGCTGGCAACAGGTGACAAGCCTTGCCCAGTTCACAATCTTGCCAAAGCCCATGGCTACCAGCAAGTTGGCCCAGGAAGCCCATTTCTGCCTTCCAACTCCAGGCCAGATACGAAAACTATACTGCCAGACCAGGCCCTAGCATTTCATAAGATGTGGCAAGGGTCCTGGGCCTATGAAGATATCAGGGCAAAGGCAATGAAAGCAGTATGTTATAATCACACCTAAGACCATTCATCAAAGTCCTCATTTCGTGTCTCCAATTTTTCACCTTTGATACCAACAAGAAAACATCATTAACTTTTAATCCTATAATCTGGATTTACTGGCTAATGTATTTGAATGTCTGCACTACCTAAATAGAAAATGAAACAAAACTTTTTCTACCTAAAAATAAGACTGCTTTAGGCACCTTCATTTAACTCACTTGCTGCCACATGCTTGTCACTGGTGGCATGAAAAGAATAAGGCCACTCCTAGCCCTGAAGGAATGTGCAGTCTGGACAGACCCACTTTGATTCCCTTTTGCCTTTTTTTCCATTTTTCTTTAGCACTATGTATTCCTGGGTGATTTTTATTTTCACCAGGAACACATCTTTTTCTTCCAGTCACAAGAAAAGAGACTTAGAAGTTAGTTCTCAGAAAAATTAGAGTATAACTGACCAGGTACAGGATCCACCAACCTATCTGAAAGACATTTCCAAGGGAGAACCTGTCATCACAGGCTCTTGGCTATCAGTCACTTGGTCTTCAAGCTAATACTCTTCTCAATCTAAACTGACTTCGCATGGTAACACATAAACCTAAGCAGAAAGCCAAGGCAGCTTCTTCCTACCTGCCATATTTTGGATCTGGAATGACCCCCCAAGGCCTATGTTTTAAAGCCTAGTCCCTAGCTCATGGAACTACTTGGGAAGTGGTAGAATCTGTCCAAGAATGCCTGACCGGTGTGGCCTATGGATTGCATGTGCCTATGTTATACTAAAAGATAGTTTTGTTACTTACATATATTAACTATACTATATATTTTATAAGCAGCCTAAAACAATTCCTCCTCACTCAATATGGCCCAGGTAAGCCAGGTACATCCAACCTGTACAGGCTGTCCGCAGGCTGGACACACCTGTGGGGGCCTAGTGGGAGATCTTCAGGTTCCGGGAGTGTGTCCTTACAGGGGCCAGTGGGAGCCCACCCTCTCCTCCCCTTTTCTTTTGGCTTCCCATCGATGAGGTAC